ATATATATAACATACACACACACACACACACACACTTCTGATCAAGGAGCTTAAATGAAGGTATTATTTGTGCTTAGTTCTGATACCATTTTGGATCTGTGACCTATGTTTAAACCTTAGAGACAACATCAGCTGAAAGATACTACTGTGAATAATGATAATGTTTTCCTGATCGTACAGTAAAGCTATATGATACTCATCCCTTTTTGGCCAAGTAGGACATTCTGATCCTGTGACAATGTTCTAGTAAAATAATTTATTTAGTGTCAAATGATTCCCTGGATGTGCTAATTTCTTGTGATGAATGCCAGTCCAACATAGCCTAGCTCCCTGCTATGGTCTCACTGACCTGCTGTAATCCAGCTGGCTAGAATGTGATCAATTATCTGCCTCAGCGAGAGAGAAATTGTATCTGGGCACTCTCTTAAGTTTGATGAATATGATTGCTTGAAAAAAATATAAAAGGAAAGAAATAATCATTCTGTGGAAATTACTGAAGAGCACCCAATCAGTTTGAGCAGATTTCACTTATAATAGCTAGAAAATGGTCTTTTATTTGGGGTGGGGGGGAAGCTGTTATATGTTCAAAACACATGGATATGGATATTCTTGTAATTTCTTTTTATTTTGCTTTTGATCAAACCCAGGGCTCATTGTTAGGCAAATATTCTATCACTGAACTGTAAGCTCAGCCTTTTTTTCTTTTTGTAGTACCTGAACTTGAAGTCAGGTCCTCTTGTGTGCTGGGCAAGCACTGCAATGCTGAGCTGAATCCTAGCCACTCTTATTTTTGAGATAAGTTCTAGCTAAATTGCTCAGGCTGGCCTTCAAAATTTTGATCCTAGGGCTGGGGATTTAGCTCAGTAATGCTGCCCCCTGCCTCCCAAGTGCAAGGTCCTGAGTTCGATCCCTGGTACCAAAACCAAACCAAACCAAAACAACAAAAACAATTAAACAAAAAAGCACACAACTGTATGGGATGGGGATGTAGCTCAGTGGCACAGCGCCTGGCAAGTACAAGGTCGTGAGTTCGATCCCCAGTACCAAACAAAACAAAAAACAAAACACAACTGGGTGATGCGTGTAGTGGTGCATATCTATAATCCCAGTCCTTTAGGGGCTGAGGCAGGAGGATCATAATTTCAAGACCTGTCAGGGCAATTTAGTGAGACCCTGTCACAAAATAGAAAACACAAATGACAAGGCCCTGGGTTCAATCCCCAGTACCACACACACACACACAAACTGGGAAGATGGGATAATTTATAAATCTAATATCTTTCATAAATTAATTATGATTAATTACAATTCATTTGACTTAAGGTTTTATTTCCTGAGCTTGCTGTGGTATCAAAATTAAAGAGAAATTCACGAGCTCGTCTAATCTGTGAGCTGTATTTCAAATGTTGCTTTCCTCAATGAACTCTTCAGCAATCTCCACAAACCTGGGCTCCAATCTAAATGTCTCTGAGTGGAGAATTATTCCTCATATTTGAATGTTTATCAGATGAGTGTATGCCTCTTCTCGACTGCAGTTTTGCTGACCTTCATACACCCGAGCCTAGCAGCCTGCTAAGCAGTGAGGCTGAGCCTCCCTCCTGAGAGATGGACTGCCCGTCTGGCCACTTCACTAGGATACCTCTTTTGGTTTAATTTCAGGGGAAAGGGGCAGGTTTTTCTCCAAGCTATTAGCAAGGGCTAACAAGTTCACTTGAAACCCATGGATGTCCAATCAAGGGTTGCTTATAATTAAACCAGTTTACCTGGCTCTATTCAGAATACTGTTAAGTACAGCAGAGTGCTCAGTAACATCACACACATTTTCACAGTTCATTCCCACGACAGTCCTGAGAGGTGCTGCTACTCTTTGCGTGAGGCTAGGAGAGGGTGGCAGCTGTCAGAAGTGGTACGGACCAGGCTGGACCCCAGGTCTGGCTGTGTTCAGAGCCTTCCTTCCTGGCCCCTGAGCACACAGTCTCTCCACACTGAGCTGTGCCGGCCTCATGGGCCAGGACCACCTGTCTCTCCCCTCCTTGTAGCTCCAGCTACAATTTAAATAGTCTGTTGAACATTGTATCTGATTGTGTGTAACTCATTTGTTACGAGGAACTACATCAAACTCATTCAGGTACTATAGTAGCTATAGTAGGTGACTGACATCAGGTGACCATGGATAATTAATTTCTTGTTTTTATATAAAAAGAAATATAACATTGACATTCCGGAGGAATAACTCTGGATGTCTTTTTTTCTTTTCCTTTTTCCTTTTTGGTGGTGGTGGTAGGTTACCACTGGGAAATGAATTCAGGGCTTTTGCACTGAGCTACATTCCCAGCACCTTTCCAATTAAAAAAAAAATTTTTTTTACCTTTTTATTCTTTGAGACAAGTTTCCACTAAATTGTCAAGTGTTGTTGAATAGCACAGGAAGCAAATCCGAGCAACATGTTCATCGAGTATCGTGTACACACACACACGCACACACACACACACACACACACATAAGAAACTTCAGTTTATTTTGCTTTTTTGAGACAGGGCCTTGCCCAGGATGGCCTCAAACCCAGGGATCTTCCTGCCTCAGCCTGGCGAGGCTTACAGGCATGCCACCGTGCACAACTGCGCCACACTGCACCTGACTCCTTTGCTATTTCATTTCCTAGAAACCGCAAACCCGGTAACTGGTTCCCTTTAGCTCCTGCCCTGCTGCAATGTGTCTCCATCCAGGGGAGGTGAGTACCGGGCTGCACTGCCCTTGCTATCACTTTCAGCGATCTCCCCCCAGCCAGCCCCAGTCACCGGAGGCACCCGCGCCCCACTGCTTGTGCACCATCTGACCTCGTGAGTCCCAGCCAAGCGTTGTGGCCTAATCTGCGCTCCACGTGCCGCGAGCTGTGCCGCATTGCGTCGTAGATCCAAGCCCCGAGACTTGGGCATAAAGTAGCACGAGAAAGGGACATAGTTTCCCCTAATAGTTCAAGAGAAGGAAGTGTTTTGTACCACTCAGCTGCCAGTTATTCTGATAGGGCAATGATAAAAATTTTCAAAAATTCAGCGAGAACAAAAGAAATACAAAACCTACTTTGAAAGGGGCGGCATGGAGGGGCACGGTGAGCAGACAATGTAGCAAGGTCTTCCTATCTTCTGAACTAAATAAGGCAATGTTGGTTTGTTTTCTGAATCTCATTACACTTTTTTATGCTACAGTGAGATTTCCTCCACTACCATTTGACTATGTCTGAATCATACTTGAAACCCAGATTATGAGCTGTTTTCCAGGTGTTAAACAGAAAATTACTGACGTTTCTTTATACACTTCCAACCTAGAGTTGTTATTTTCTGGTTTTAGTGTTTAAGGATTCAATTCACAGCTGTGGCTGATCTGGAGATAAACCCTTTTTGACAAGACCAAAAAATGTGAATTTGCAGACAGCATTGATTAGACCTGTTTTTTGTTTTGTTTTGTTTTTCCTGCCAGCTGATAGTTATTAAAAATAGTTTTGTAAATAATTTATCTGTAGGGGCCAGGGATTTAGCTCAGTAGCACTGTGCCTGCCTTGCAAGGCTCTGATTCTGAGTTCAATCCCTGGTACCAAAACAACAACAACAACACTCACAAAAACCAAAACAAAACAAAAAAACCTCATCTGTGGGAATTCTCCAGGTCAGCTGACTTTGTGTCAGTTTGAGGAAAATAAGCACTTACCAATTAATGTTCTGGGAGAAATGTTTTGTGATGCTTGGGCAGGAACCTTCTGGTCGGGAGATGGAGGCCGCTTCCCCAAATCCTACACTCTCTCCTGCTTCAAAGTGCGGCTTCCACCAAACTTTTGTAATCACACTGGAGAGAAGAATGATGTTGAATTTTGAGCACAGCACTTCCTTTCCAACACCGCCCTCGCTAAAAATTCAGCATGCATTCCAGGATCCTAGTAAACAAGGAACATATTGCACAAATTAGTTCTCTGGCTCATCGTGTTTATGTAACAGGTTTGTTTTGTGATCGAGAGGGTATTACAGTTCTCCAAAAACCAGTGGTTTGAGTCTTTCTCCTCCCCACCTCCTTTGTCTGGATTTTTGCTTATGAAAAGTCAACTTACATTAGCGGGGTGGAATGACAGGAAGCCTTAAAATGTCAAAGGCTATTTCTTCAGGGCACACAGGAGAGGAATATTGTTTTTCTTGGCTTTCAGTGTATTCTGATAGTGAAGAAATGAAATTGCATGTTAGTTCTGTGTATTTTAATTTCTTGACATAGGGAGGCCAAGATGGAACTTTGCTGGTTCCAAGGAAATTAAATATTTGATTTTTATCCTCATTGCCCACTGGCTGTAGGCCTGGCAGATGTGGACACAGAAATTCAAGGGCTGAGAAATGTAGAGATGGAAGATAAGCAAGCCTTGATGTAGTTTGCTCCCTTCTGCCGGACTGCTGTCCCTTGATCTTTTTTAAGAGCTTAACAGCAGCTGGGCCATGTAGTTTTGAAACTCAACACTGTTGGGCTGCAAGAGATCTAAAAGTTAAACACCAAGGCTAGAAAGTTCTAGAACTGTTATTCTTATAGAGGGGTTGGATTGTGGGGTGAATATGTCACTGGACTGGTCTGAGGAGTCCCCAAGCTGACGTGAGGAGTTTAACCCACCCTAAACATAGAATGTTTGCTTCCACTCTCATTGCGGAAAAGGATTTTCAGGTCTAGTCTGTCAGGGGCATAGGAGAATTATTGTGTCTTTAAGACCTATAGGAATTCTTTTGAGTGCATTTTCTGGGAAGGAAAAAGGCTTGAGTAACTTTCTTATTTTTTGTTTTTTTGAGATAGGTCTGGCTTTGTAGTATACACTAGCTTTGAACTCCCTGCATAGCCCAGGCTGGCCTCAATCTCACAGCGATCCTCCTGCCTTTGCCTCCTAAGTGCTAGGATTACAAATATGTGCCTCCACTGGCTTGAGTAATTGTGTTTTGAAGCTGCAGTTTTTCTTAAAAGTATAATTTTTAGGACTGGGGATTTAGCTCAGTGGTGCCACTGCCTCCCTCACAAGGGCAAGGTCCTAAGTTTGATCCTTGGTACCAAAAACAAACAAATAAAAAACAATTTTAAAAAATTAATTTTGTGGGGTTTTGTTTTGTCTTTGAGATAGGATCTCACTATGTGATTCAGGCTGTCCTTGAACTCACTGTGTAGCCCAGGCTGGCTATGTAGCAGATCCTCCTGCCTCAGCCTCCTGGGTTCTGGGATTACAGGTATGTGCCACTACACCCAGCTACATGTATAATTTAAAATCTTAATATTCTTTTTACCTTTTTTGTGTTTAATTTCTTCTGTCCTACTTCATTTCTACCTGAGACTTTGATACCTTATTTTTAAGCAGTGTGGGAGACCTGGAGGTTTGTCTTTATGGAACTGCTTTAGCTTGAGGAAGGGCATTGATCTTTTCTTGCTGGGCACAGGAAGTTTCATCCTGACTGGTTTTAAGGAGACAGGAATATTAGGTTTTATTTTTTGAAGATACATCATCTTTTGTTTGTTTTTTTCTTAAATATATAATTATTTATTGCCATGACAAACTGTTTGGTCCGGACTGAAAGCTATATTCAGAAGGGTTCCCCTTCAAACTAGAGTAATAATTGATGAAATGTCTGTGCAAAATAAAGTGGAAGCAGTATAAAATTGAATATGTCATTCACCCAAAATGACTGATTGATTAAATGATGAAGCAAAACTTAGAGCCACTGTACTGGATACTTTGCTTTTCAAGCATCTTCTCATGACTGAACCTGTTTCACTCTTTAGAATTTTTTTTTCCTTGTGGTACTGGGGATCAAACTTGGGATCTTGGGCTTGTGAGGTAGGTGGCGGCACCACTGAGCTAAATCTCTGGCCCACTCTTTAGAATTTTAAAAGTAATATATATTAGTCACTTAGAATCAACTATATACTTTGATTTAATTACAGATTCTCTTCTCTTTATAAACAATAACCCAGACACACATTGTTCATACTGTAAAGGTTAGATAATGCCATCCTTGAAAGGATTTGCATAAACTATATTATAAAAGTTAGATTAACAAATGTCATTTGCATAAAAAGGACATGTTCAGTTTTTTGTTTTTTGTTTTTGTGTTTTTTTTCCAGTATGGGGGGTCAAACTCAGGACCCAACGCTTACAAGGCAGTCACAGCACCACTGAGTTAAATCCCTGCCCTACCCATTTTTTTGAGGCTGGGTCGCCCTTTGTAGTTCAGGCTGGCTTTGAACTTGAACTCTTAGCAGTCCTTCTTTCTATGCCCCCCAAATGCTGGGATTATAGGCATGCACTACCACACCCAGCTCAACATGTTCAGTTTTGAAAGAACCTTTTTTTTTTCTGGTACTAGGGATTGAACTCAGAGGACCTTGCGCTAGCCAGGCAGTTTCGGTGCCACTGAGCTAAATCCCTGGCATCAACCTGTTCAGTTTTACAGAACAACGATAGCTACTACAATGAAATACAGTTAGTGAAACTCACATATTCCTAATCAGAAGGTAGTTTACTTTAATGCCTACTTGTTTCTCTTTGATAGCAACTATATTTTCCACACAGGGAAGGATAATATTGGGGCATTCCTTATAATTTTAAGAGTGGCTAATATAATCAGGCCAATCAAAACATTCATGAAATAGTTTGCAGTGCAATGACCCCAAAGTGATGAAAGGACCAGAGGAACAAAAATGGCTTGAATCAAATGGAAATCTATGTAAGTGGACAGGTGTCATCTAAATTGACCTTATGCCAGGGGTTTAGCTCAGTAGTGCCATACCTGCCTGGGAAGCACAAGGTTCCAAGTTCAATTCCCAGTACTGAAAAAAAAAGTTGAACTTATAAGGGTTGGCATATTCCCAAAGAAATAGACTAGAAAAGTGAAAGGGAAGAACTATACCAGTTCCCATCATTTCATATAAAGAGAATGGCTAACTCTTCAGACAGTAACACATAAAGATAATATTTTAAAGAAGTGCTTTTTCTTTTTTGGTACCAGGGATGAAACTTAGAACCTTGAGCTTGTGAGGCAGGCAGCAAAACCACTGAGCTAAATCTCTGGCCCTCAAAGTACTTTTTCTTAAGATGTCTGATTTTGTTGTCTGGTACAACTGGCCAAATGAAATGAGTTGGGAAATATTTCCCTCTTGTTTTCTGGAAGAAACTGTATAGAATTGATGTTTCTTCCCTAAGTATTTGGTAAAATTCATTATTGAAGTCATCTGGGCTTACAGTTTTCTATTTTTTGGGTAGTTGTTAACTATAAATTCAATTTTAATATAATATAGGCCTGTTTGGTATCTTTGTCTTCACTGAACATTGGTTATTTGTATTATACAAAGATTGGTCTGCTTCATCTAAGTTGTTGAATATATAGATCTAGAGTTAGTCATATTTTTTTTTCAGTACCATGTGATGCCACTGAGCTACATCCCCAGCTGTATTGTTTCTAATTGTGCTTTTAATGTTTACAGATCTGTAGTGTATCTGTCGGTTCCTTTTTTTTTTCCTGAATGGTATTGGGGATCAAACCCCAAGTCTCAAGCATGCTAGGTAAGCACACTATTGCTGAGGGCTATATCCCCAAACCTATTCTGTCATTCCACTTGGCAGGCAGTGGCAGATATGGCCCGTTCACTTGTGTTAGAAGTTGAGATCTGCTGCCCTGTCACACTGCTGCTTTGGTGAGGGTAGAGGAAGCATACTTTACAGGCAAAAAGGAAGGTCCAGAGCCTGATTTACAGGCTTACTGGGTCACTAAGACCTTTAAGAATTATTTTGAATGCATTTTCTGGAAGGGGAAAAGGCTTGAAGCTGCAGTTTCCTTAAAAGTCCAGTTTTAAAACTTGGATTTCCTTGTCTACTTTTAAATTTCTTCTCTCCTTCCTTAGATGTACTTTGTGCATCTAGAGTTATCCCACTGCCCTGTGAGGAGGGCCACTGTTCCCCACTGGCCCTGTGCGCTAGGCCCTGGATTCTGCAGGCTTCAGCACTAGTAAGCAGCCTGGCACACTTCCTTCCACTCCTTCCCACAGCAGATGAAAGCAGCTCAGGGCCAGTTAGTGCTCCTGTTCCTCTGCATGTGTAGTACTAGTACTTACAACAGTTCTATCTAGTTTATGTTCTATCATCATACAAAAGCACAATTACAAGAAGTTTTGATTACTTAACGGGGTTTTCAGGTTTCCTTTTTTTTTATAGAACAGAAGCACTTGGATAGAGAAAAACAACATTAAAAATTATATTATGTGTTAAACCTCCTTTAAGCACAGTACTTGCTAAAACCCAAGAAAAAGTATGCATTTTAATTTTTATTTGTTAGTAACCATTTAAGACACAATTGAAACTTGCTTACTTTACTTTGAGTTTAATCCACAAAACTACATAAAAGGCACAGCAAATAATAGCTTTCTGGAGATGAATACCCTTAATTCAAGTATGTTTGAGGAGCCTCCTTTTGTGGACAGTAGGGAGAGGTATAGAGATCAAACCCAGAGCCTTCCCACAGAGCTACATTCCCAGCCCCCTTTTTAAAATTAAAAATAATTTTTGGGGGGGAGGTATGAAGCTCGAACCCAGAGCCTCCCCATAGAGCTACATTTCCACGCCCCCCTTTTTAATTAAAAAAATTTTTTTTGGCACTGGGGATCAAATTTAGGACCTTGTGCTTGCTAGGCAGGCATGGAGCCACTAAGCTATATCCCTGCCCTTTTTTTTTTTTTTTTTTTTTTTTTTTTTTTTTTTTTTTTTTTTTTTTTTTTTTTTTTTTTTTTTTTTTTTTTTTTTTTTTTGAGACAGGGTCTCACTAAGTCCCTAATTGCCCAGGCTGGGTTTCAACTTGGAATCCTCCTATCTCAGCCCTCTAGAGTACTGGGATTACAAGTATGTGCCACACGACCAGGCTGCAGGGAGTTTCTTGAGAGAGCATACATGCCCTGGGATCTGTGGGTTCACCGGGCTCAGAGAGGAAGGTACCCAGGGCCCCTGTTGTATTATTTTGAGCAACAGATCTCCCATGCCAAATTTCTGTACTGATGCTTAAAATTTCTCTGATAATTTTCTTTAGAAGGTATGACGTCTGTGTTAATCTATGAAGCTCTAATGCTTAGAACAGGTTGGGCTATGTTAAATGAGTGCTCCCCTTCTCACCTCTCAACTCCCAGAAAAGAACTAGAATCAGCAGTTTGCTTTCTATCTTTGATAGGATCAAAGATATTATTCTTTTCTTTTTTGACGTTAAAACTGTCCCATATGATCAATACTCTTATAGAAACTTCAAAAGTAGACATTTGGAAGAGTGCAATTATAGTCACGTCAATTTTTGTTAATGATCATGTCTCATCTTGCTGTTGTTTGCACAACAAAAATAAAAATCAGTCCAGAGTAAAGGCCCTGAAAAAGGGACATATTCTCACAAAGAAGTTGACTCGTGGAAAATGGCCAGACTTACTGCAGCGGGGTAGCAGGGATCAAACTCGGGCCTTTGTGCTTGCAAGGCAGGCAGCAGAACCACTGAGCCAAACCCCCGGCCCAAGACTTACTTTTTTTTTTAGTTCTTGCCCTTGCCATGCAGAGAGAGACAGCTATCACACGTGTAAGGCCCTTCTCCAGCCTGTTGCTGCAAGGTAGGCCGGGCTGGAGATTAGTGTTTGGGGCCTTTATTTGGTGGCACAGAGAGGCTGTAAGCAAGCAAAGCTTTTCCCAGCGAAGGAGATAGTCTAGAGTCGCAGACGGAGTCGGTGGCCCTAGGGTTCCAGTGAGAAGCCATGGCAACGCTGCCATACAGGGGCGTTTTCATGCCACTTAAGCCAGACAATTCTTAAAGGCCCCTGAGTACTAAGCCTTATTCAAATTCTGGCTTTTAATTCTTTATTTCCCTCTGCGGGAACTGAGCCTTGAGGATACTGGAGGGCAGGCTGGGATTCTTTGTTAGAAGGAGTATCAGCTTCTACAACTTCTTCAGTGAGATACAGGAAGCTCTAATTTCCTGGAGGAAACGTGGGCAACAGTGTCCCTTTTCTAATTTTCACTTTTGTGTGCCACAGGCCCGTTCAAATAAGATCTAGACAAAAGGATTTAGATTGGATTTCTTACAGGCAATCTACTGACTCACAGGCGTGGGAGGAGTGGAACGGGAGAGTAAAGTTTGGGGGTACGGTACAAACACTCACCTCTCAGGGTGCCAGTGCCTGAAACCGCCGGAAGGTGAGGAAGCCTCAGCTCTTCAGGGCTCTGTGCTCTGAATCCTGCAGGCTTAATGATTTCTCTCAGAGAACTGGTCGCAGCTGCCCTCCGATGAGGAAGAAATCTTTATTTTTCTCTCTGTAAAAAAGGGAGGCAAATATTCTCTTAACTTATTGCCCTGGAAAAGGAAATGTGGTTTGCCGGTGGTTAAATAAATCTGTTGTACATCACTTAGTCAGCAGGCATCTGAGTGACACCATCTTTGGCCCTGACTCAAGAGAGTGAACTAACTACTCTTGGAGTTCAGGACTTTCCTTACTACCTATTTTAATTGCGCTACTTTGCTCATTAAACCACACGTAATTTTGAATATGATGTAAGTGTCTCTGGATTTTTCCAAAACATTACATTTTAGGAAAGGAAAGGAATCTGAGAATAAAGCATATTTTCTCAACCTCTTTAAGTTCGTTCAGCTGCTAGTTTTGCATTTTTCACTAGGAAATTGGTAGCCTGGGGACATGTTGCAGCTGTGAATGTATTTTGTTTGTGCTGCTCTGTTTTCTAAAGGTTGGATTAACTTCTGACATTTAATCATTAAGAAATCTTAAATGGCCACCTAGATTAGAGGCTCCTTGTGAAGAAATTAGCTGGCCTGGGTACACTGGGTGGGAGTCTCAGCAAGGCGACAACTAGAGGTGGCCAAGTAGGGGCTGCTTGCAGGGCCGAACGCCCACTTTGGGCAGGGTGTTACCAGCCAGAAGCCTTCTCTAATTTGCGTTTCCCACCCTTTTTTTTTTTCCTTTCTGATTCTTTTCCTGTTGAATTTCCATTTAAGAAAGTTGGATACACAGAAAGATGTCATTAGGTGGTGGTTTTGGGGTTTGTTAATTTAAATGAGCAAATCTCCAGGGTTTCCCTAGTAAACCCTGCATGCATTATAAAGTGTGATGAAACTCACAATGCCGACTTTGATGAGTGTCATTGTGGAGCACTAGCATGCCAAAGGAGGCGTAATGGGCTGCGGTCTAACCAGGTGGAGGCAATAATAAGGGACACACTGTCTATAGGGAATTTAAAAGCAATAATGAAACCAACTAGAGCCCTGCTGCTTTTTATCATCGCCACGTGCCAGCTATTGTAAACAAGATCAGTGATGAAATGCTCTTCCCCTCAAAAAAAAATCTTCTAAATTCTAAAGCAATTGCTGTGATTGCTGTGAGTTTTAATTTTAGAGAGACAATGTGATTTTCTTAAAAGTTAATTATTCTTATTTTAATTTTAACTGACAGCGCATTTTATGTTGAACATGACTGACAATGCTCTCAGTTAGAGCTGTGTGGACTCGGCCCTGCTTGCTTTGGAGGTTAGGTTGATAAACGGTCCAAGTCCAAATCATTGGTGTGGTTTGTGTATTCCCCCTGTGATGCCACATATGCCTGCATTGCAACAGTCATTTTCAAATCCACAGTGACAGCACAATCATTTTAAAGATGAATAAATAAGTCACTGATTTCAGCGTCTTTATTGTATGCCATCATATGGGAGTTTTAATTGTTTTTAAATTTTAAATAGTGAAACAAAGGGAGGGTTGCAGGATGTGCTGGTATTTGTTTGGCAAACAAGTTTTAGTCCATAGATACATTTTTGTGTTATTTTGTTTTACTGAATTTAGATTTGGGGGGTGAGGTACCAGGGATCGAACTCAGGAACTTGCACTTGCGAGGCAGGAGGTGGAACCACTGAGCTAAATCTCTGGCCCTAATTTAGATTTTTTTTTAAAAAGATTGAAAACATTTTTTTTTTCAAATGGTCTGTTCTAAAACTAAAGACGGACTCAAAAAGTAAACATGTGATGGCAATGATGTGATTGAATAGTTGCCTAGATTGTACCTTTAACAAGCATTTCAGGTTTCTTAAAATTCAGTTATTAGAAAAAGAATTCAGTCATTAGATGGTGTATGGATGTAATCCCAAGTGTCTGAGAGACTGAGGCAGTAAGACATGAAGTTTGGGCAATTCAGCAAGACCCTGCCTCACAATTTTTCAAAAGGGCTGATGTGTGCTAGATTCTCAAGGTTCAACCCTCAGTACAGTAAGAAAAGAAAATCAGGGGGCCAGGGATTTAGCTCAGTGATTCCACTGCCTGCCTCACAAGCCAAAGGCCCTGAGTTTGATCTCCAGTACCAAAAAAGAAAATCAGTTATTAATTAGTACGTAGTTATTTGCACAAAATATTATTGTATCATTCTGTAACCAATGTATCATTATATCATTCTGTACTCTCTGTGGTTAGAGATCTGGGGATGTAGCCTAGCAGGAACAAGGCCCTGGGTTTATTCCCAGCACTGCCAAGAAAAAAGTTAGTTGAGTGTAAAAATTGAAAAAATGTTTAATTTTCCTTTTTGCTTACTGTAAATATATGTTACCTGCTAATTTTGCTTCCTAGCATAATTATATATATTTGAAGTTTAGGAAAATAATCTCACCCTTTGTATTGTTTCCTTTCACAACATTACTGAAAATAATTTGATCCTGTTGAGGAAGAGGTGTATAAAAACCGCACTGGCTGCGTTGTCAGCATGCACAGAGGTGGCCCACCGCTGTAGTAGAGACAGAGATCATCACCATAATGTGGAGGAGGCTGCTCCCTCTCCCCTGTAGAGTTTGAGCTGCTGCCCGCCCGCAAAATAAACTGACAAAAGCAAAGGGAGACAAAGTAGCGTGGGGCTCTGGTGGCTGTAAATTACAGACACGTGATTCTGGAATGTCTGGTAGTAGAGGTTGCTAAGTACGTTTTGTTTTTCAGCCTTGGGTGCCACTGCCTGTGGAAAGATACAGATACGTTAAGAGTCTCCTGGTGCTGCAGAAGGATGGAGAATTGTATTCATTCCCTTTACAAAGGAAAACTCAGACCCACTTTTAGGCAGAGTGTTCTTCCTGTGTTTGCCGTTTCTTAATAGCCTTTATTCAAAATAATATTCTTTATACCAGTGTGTCATATTATATAGTGGTATCCTCTTTATTTTTGTTTTTTATGAGATGGGGCCTCACTGTATAGTTCAGTCTGGCCTCTTACTCGATATGTAGCCCAGGCTGGCTTCCAACTTTCCTCTTGTTCAGCAGTGGGATTATAGGAGCCACAGTGGCAGTGTAGTGGAAATAGGTGGGAGGCACACTAGGTCCCCATGGGGCCCCCTCCTTCTCCTACAACGGCAGAGTGGAGTAGATAGAGTTCACGTGGACCAGGTCACTCTGTTTGCCACAGGTTGAAATAGTACGTGGTGTCTGCCCTGCAACTGCGCATGGGGTGCCGGGTTAGCTGCTGCTTTAGGCTTTACTGCTTTGCCATGAATGTCAGTGCTGAATCACCTTCCAGCCATAGATGGAAAGTAGCTTTGATAATAATGATCTCCCAGGGCTGGTGATTTAGCTCAGTGGTTCTGGTGCCTGCTTTGCAAATGCAAGGACCTGCGTTCAATCCCTGGTGGTGGGGGGGGAATCTGATGGTAGAGTGTTTTGTTTGTTTTTTTGGTACCGGAGATCGAACTCGGGTCCATTGTGCTTGCAAGGCAGGCAGCAGAATCATTGAGCTAAATCCCCAGCCCTTGGTAGAGTGTTTGTTTAACGTGGGCAGAGTCCTGGGTTCAATCCAATCCCTAGCACTGCACACTCACTGATTTTTTCTGATGGTAGAGTGTTTTGTTTGTTTTTTTGGTACCGGAGATCGAACTCGAGTGTTTTGTTTGTTTTTTTGGTACCGGAGATCGAACTCGGGTCCATTGTGCTTGCAAGGCAGGCAGCAGAATCATTGAGCTAAATCCCCAGCCCTTGGTAGAGTGTTTGTTTAACGTGGGCAGACTCCTGGGTTCAATCCAATCCCTAGCACTGCACACTCACTGATTTTTTCGACTAAGAAATTTGCATGTACATCAGAATATTTATTTAAAATTTGTATTAGTTTGCTGTACATAATGTTTCTATTCATGTGGCGTTGGTACATGTACAGTACATACACATCTTAATTCTTTTTACTTCCTTCCCCTCCTCTCGCTAACACTAACCTCTCCCTCCATCTTCCCATTTACAAAAGATCTAGCTCCTTGTTTCCCATTATCTTTTACATTTTGCTCTTTAAATTATTTAGAGTTTGAATTTCTCATATTAGAGAAAACATGTGATATTTAAGCTCCTGTGTGTCTGATTTATCTCACTTAACATTATGTGCTCAAGGTGCATCCATTTTCCTACAAATGACTCACATTTACCCACGCGGCTGAGTGGTGCTCCATTGTGTTTAAACGCCACACTTTCTTTATCCATTCATCTGTTGATGGACATATAGGCTGCTTCTAGGATCCATCTATTGTGAGTTGTGCTGTTACAAACATGAGCAGATTATTTAGAAAGTGCAGAAAAGCATGAAATGATGATTAAAATCATTCTGAACTCCACCATTTAGAGAAACCTGTCTTGACATTTTGGTATTTTTATATATTTTAAAAGTATCTATGTGAGATTAGGTTGTTCACAGAGTCTTATAATCTACCCATTTTATATACACCATGAGTATTTTTCCATGTCATTACATATTATTCCAAAGTCTGCTTTTAATGACTGCATAAATACCACACTACAGATGTTCTTCAAGGCATTTTAAAAAGTGGCAACTTTATTGCCACCCTAGAATACAAAAGTTTCTGTGCTTTCAGACTAACCTTCTAGTAATTTCTATTTCACCTTACACAGAAATAAAGTCCTATCAAGTTGGCTCCTAAAAGATAAGCACACTTTAAGAAATATTAGAGTGGAATACAAAATCCTGGCAAATGCTGCAATTTAGGCAAAATAGAATCCGAATCTGGTATTATCTGTCAACAAACAATTTAGAATGCTCTTCCATAAAATTAAATAATGATGTGATGTGTTACCTGCTGCACTTGTAGCACTATAATTATGATAATGAGATCTATTTAATATAATAAGATACTATATTTTTAAAATGTCATGCCAGGCATGCTGCTTGGCATTGCCCTATTCCTGAGCTACTTAATACTTTTCACTTAACTTTTACAAAATCTAGGGAGCAAAAGGAGGAG